TGTTTCATGAACAGATCTGAAGCTTGGGGAATGTGCGCAGCTCTGTGGATAGTTCCGGAAGATGTGGTCGAAGTGTGCGACCCTGTTTGTTTTGCAATTGCTGCATTTCATGGTTGTGCCATTTGGGGACCTAATTAGATTTCAACCTTTGGTGCACAGCACATCGTGGCACATCCAAGTCAAAAGCTATCCCAGCAGAAATTGCGAACCCTGAGGACAAGCTGGCAAGGCTCATCTCACTAGGAGTAGCGGCTGCTTCCTCTGCCGCGCTCAATGAGGCACACTGGGCAAATAGTCCGGCCTTGGCCGGCTGGCTTTGGAAGCAAAGCCAAGAACTGTTGCATGATTGTAAAAAAAGTATCAACCATTGACAGTAGCACAATTATGTGGCTTTGGCTGTGGGCCCCGTGCAGGTGAAGCCCACAGTTCTTGTTCCAGTATTTTGCATGTGCTTGCTACGTCGTCGCCTTTTGCGACTGTGCCAAATCACCAGGTGGCCATTTCAAACATCACGATCATATCCAATGCCGGTGGTGCCGTGCGCCAAGTTGCCATGTGCGGCTTAGCTCGGGCGCTTGGCAACGCGCCGTTGCCTTTGAGGTCCCTACCTTGGTGAACTATGATCTGAAGTTTGCCTTCTGTCTTTCCATCTCGGTTCCTTGGCTCGTCTGCAATGACACCAGGCATCGTCAGCCTGAGATAGCCTGAGCACGTCTTTGGGCTTGCACGTCCTGGATGCCACACAAAATTAACATTGCAAGAATGGTTGGACAGCCATTTGTTCCTAGCAACTCATCCTTGGAGTGTTTGATTCATTGATTCGATGCGGGGTCGCTTGAGTTGAGGTTGAAGTAGACGGCTTAGTCTCTAAGATTCCAAGGCTTCGCTGGCGTCTGGGCAATTTGAAACTGACTTCACTTCGAAGGCGGAGTCAGAGCCACGGGAAGAGCAGTTGGCGGTTGGCATGGGTAGGTGCAGTCCTACCCAGCGTTCAGCGTGATGCCCTCGGTGTGCATCACATTTGGCTAACTTGCAGCCGCCATTGGGCCAGGCAAGAAGGCTTGACATTTCAGGCTCCAAGCACCATCGCCTTGCTAGAATTTCAAAATCTTACCGACACTGGCTGGCGACCTAGCTGCCTGCAATTGCTTTTGGACATGGCACCGGCAAAGAAAGCTTGGAATGTTGAGTGTGGGATGCTGGCAATTTCAGGTTCACAGAACGGCTCCAATGCTGGGTGCTTAGTTTGAATTCTTTGCCAACAGCAATGTCAGCGGCGCTTTTTTGCCGCTGCTTACGGCAGCGCAGCGCAGGGCTCCAACAATCCCTGGGAAGGAGGCGCAAATCCTCTTGGCTGGAGGCTGTGCAGCGGATCTTGCGCAGGCAGCCCGGAAGTTGTCGAAGATCCAGAGAATGGCTCCGCACTTGTGATATTCTTGTCCGCCACCGAGTGCGAAGTCAAACCATGCCACAGATGTGAGCTTCACACTGTGCAAAATTATTTCTTCGTTGGGATGTGCTTCCCTGCCTAAGGATTCTTGCTGTTGCGGCTGTGCTGATGTCAGCAATGTTCTTGAGCGCTTGGGCCGATGCCTCACTGTACCAAAAGCTGGCTACATTGGGACAAATGGGCACAGCTCAGGCCAAGCTGAGGCGAACGCGGGCCAAGGTGTGGATACTCAGCACTCCTGGGGCGACAAGCAGCACCGCCTTGCTCACAGGTGCACCAGTCCAATGAGGAGTCCAGAGTGGATATTGAAGCTCCATGTCCCGATGTGGACCGAGCTCGGAGACTTATTGATGGGGTGTGCATTCAGATTTGTTGGTATCGGTCGTGATGTAACATGACACGTTGCTTCATTGGAAACGCCATGCGCGCCCTCCAGCTGAAGGTGTTGGCACATGTAGCATGCTCCTTCTCTCCAACAGATGTGGAGGATGACAAGGCAACGGAAGTTTCTAAAAGTGGCTGCCTTGATTTGCTTCGTTTGGTTCATTTGCAGGTCTTCAGGGACAGCTGTTTGGACCTCTCTGAGGGTGACATCGTTGAGGTGATAGCAGGTGGGACGCCTGCCACTGAGACACAACATGCTGAGAACTCATCCAAGGCGGCGCGGGCTGGTTCTATGGCAGAGTTATCTCAACCACAGCTGAAGGCAGTGATGAGCAGTAAGCATCTCAAGGTGTAAATGACTTTGATCTTCCCACTTGCAAGGGAAATGGAGCAGCAGTCGAGTTGTCTACTGCAGTTCTTCCAGAAGCTGTTGCACTGGCAAAGCCGCTGTTCTAGGACCTAGGGTGAGTCCTGCCAGGCGCCCAAGTTGATCGTATGGGCTACTTCCCGGAGAACCGCGTGCGGCGACCTCGTGGGGTCAATGTGAGGCTTTCGGGCGGCGATCCATGCTATCTCCTGTCGGCAAGCAGCATCAAAGTGCACAACTGGTCTTCAACGGTAATAACTTTACGGGCATGTGACCCATGATTTGTTGTCAGAAGGTTC